CTACTAACCCTAACCCTAACCTAACTGAGATGTCACATTTTGAACGAAAGGTGATATGTAAATTGGTGCGAATAATCTCAGCCAATAGAAACTCTGGGGGGAAAAACTAGTGTTGTCAAATGTCTTGCATATTGGTAATTGTCACCTCCTTTTATTATATAATTTATTACTCGACGTAATAAATAATATAATAAATGGATGTGACAATTACCAATATGCAAGACATTTGACAACACTGACATTAGATATTTACTGGTTTTTTTTTTTGCATTCTGATGAATTGATAATCAGCGATCGTCAAAGATCATAACGAAAGACGGAATGAAGTATTACTTGCTCTATATTTTTATTAATCAATAATTTGGGTAGTCAATTCATAATTTTTTACTTTTGATTTACTCCACCCCAATAGTTTGGTTTTCAAATTAATTATCAGGAGTATATCTAAAGAGATTTAAAAACATTCACTTAAATTCTACCTAATGTTATCAATCAATAAAAATACGATATGTAATACTTATAAATTCTTATTAAATATTTTATTGACTATATACAATTTAAAAATTCCAGTCAAAATTATGTTATAATTTTCTAACATCCTAGATTTGACTACCTCGCAAATTTTATACATCATTATGATGATACAAACTCCCGTTATCTCATAATATCACCTCAACATCTACCTTGCTGCACTTCGGGAATACGGTACTCAAAAACGACTGATTGAAGATGAGTATTCTAGCAAATTCGGTAACACTATTATAGTACCGTTTACAGAAAATTTTTCATGTATGCCAGCTTTATTAACTACACAATGCTATTATTCTAACCAATGAAATATACAGCCACGAAATTATTTTGTGGCATTACATGTGTTTAATCATTTAATCAGCTGGCATTGGATAGTTTGATCAAACAAAGGCAAAATTATGGGACAATTTTCGATTATTCTATTAAAATATATTAATTTACTGTACAGTATATATCTTGATATAAAAATGTATGAATTTAAAACACGAGCAAGGGTCGAATAAATTTTGGAAAGTTCCGAAAGGTCCCGTAATGTTTTAGTTGGCTAATAAACATATGATGCATTATATCCGTGATAATGAAAGAAAATTATCAAATCAGTTAATAATGGTTTAACGTTCAATCAAAAAATTTTGTCCATTGACGGTAAAAACCATTTTATTGGCAAGAAATTCGAGCTTTGCTCCAGACATCTAACGGTCCACGTTTCCTATTATACAGAACCAATGTGAACATTTAATATGTAAATTGTGACAGTCATAATGTTTTTAAACTAGAGCTGCAGATTAGCTCGACTTGGAATTTCTCGGCTCACAAATGACTCGGATCTAACCTATAAAGCCAATGAAACAATTCAACTTGGCTAGCCAAGCCAGCCGTTTGCATCTCTACGCCCGTTTGCCAATCTTCTTTTCTCTCCTTCTAACTAAATATATAAAATAAAATAAAATAAAATAAGAATAAATTTAGCACTTAAAAAATTATTAGTTTTAAATACAAATAAAGAATGAGTAAATGGACGTATACCACTTTTCGAACTCTTGCTAATAATCCTAATGCACTTTGATTTGCTTTACAATTTTCTATATCATATGGAGGATTGATCATAACCTCATCTAGAACTATGATTGATTCTTTATGCCACCTACATGGTAATCTTTAAATTAAAAACGAATTAATTTTTGTCAAATAATAAACTAAGATATTTTTTATAAATATATCATTTACATAATATACATATAAAGAAAGTTAATACTCACGTCTTACTCAATGCATCGAAAATATCCTGAGCCTCTTGTGTCACGCCTACACCAATTCTTGCCAAGTTAGCTTGTGTATCCTTGACAGACTGTAATTCTTTAGCTTGAAGCCTATCCATTTGTACATAACCCACCGAAGGAATGACTGTAGAAAAAATACTACTGTTCGTACTACTTTGTCCATTTGTTTGTGTGTTGTTGGAAGAATTTGTAGGTGAATTAATGTTGGCATTGATATCATCAGAAGATTTACGATTAGGAAGTTGGATCACATCTTTAAGGAAGCTAATTTTTAAAATTCGAAAGTCGTATTTTTGGGAACCGCCGGAATTTGTACCTGGAGGTATTGCACTCGGACATTGTTTTAAATAGAAAAAGAATATCATAGAATTAAGGATCTATTAATTCGGACAATCGTAAAATTAAATAAGAGATCTTTAACGGTGGTAAGAAACATAAATCCATAGTCCATAGTATTAAAAAAAAAAAAGGATA